AACTTTGCATTTTGTTTTCTATATACTCTCACTGCTATATATTTTGGAACGGGTCGGATCGGACAACTATATCATATAGCTGCCATAGGAGCGATCGGTAGATGTAGAGAAAATGTAAAGCTGTGAATGTAAAACTGTAACTGTCAAACTGTAAACATAATAACTATAGGTAAAATGTTATGAAACTCTGTTTTGTCTGTGTTTTCAGCATTTTATTTATGCTATGTATAAATATACAACTTTTAAGTATTTTCTTTTATTTTTTTTTAATAACAAGAATGGCTCGATTCTCAATGATCCAATTGCAATCTGCAAGGGTATACAAACTTCGGTGTGCCGAAGTTAGCTTCCTTTCTTGTTTTTAGCTAAATTTTCAATTTTCCTTTCTGCCTTTTGCTCTCTAATCAAGAATTTTTCGCAGCCCAAAAAGCAAAACGCAATCATTTCCAATTATTCGCAATTACACCCGCTTTCCAACTCGCTCCAGCCTCCCTGCATCCCAGCAGCTCCTCTTTTATTTGAATTTTTGTTGTTATTTTTTGTTTTTTATGCTGGCTCCAGCGAGTCGCGCATTGTGGATGAATTAGTCAGGAAATTAATTAATCAAAACTAACGCAAAAAGCAACAATTTCAGAACAACAAAGCGGGCAAAATAGCAAAGCGAAAGAAGCCACACGGTAAAAAATTCAAATTAGAAACTAAAAGCAACAAGTTTTTTGTAGAAAAATATATTGTATATTTAAGAAATTTAATAAAAATAAATTTAAATTATATTATTTTTATATATTAATATTATCTAAAAGTAAACTTAATACAGAGATAGATATGTGTATATAAATAATTTAAATATTTATATAAATATTTCTATAGATATATTTATTTTTATAAATTTTTTTTCATTTGTATTCTTAAAAATATTTTAAATAATTTTTACAAAGCATTCATATTAATCATCATAAATATATTCATATGAATATTAATATTAATTAATAATATCATTATATCACTTTCTATATCAATTGCTTTCAGTGCCCATTTCGTATTTATATAAATATTTACATAAAAATATTATTTTAAAATATTTTAAATAATTTTTTAAAAGCCTTCATACCAATAATCATAAATATATTTATTTAAATATTAAGATTAATTAATATTATTATTTTAACTACCAATACCAATTGTTTTGAGTGCACATTTCGTAGTCCAAACAGAAACAGAATGTTCAAAACAGCGTCGCTCTACAATTTGTTGCCTGTCATTTTTGCTTATTTTGTGTATGGCGCTATACCCCCCCAGCTTTTTGCTTTTCCCCCCTCCATTTTTTTTTTTGTTATTGTTTAATTTGTGTCGCCGCTATTGTTTATTGTTTATAGTGGTTGCTTTGTTGCTGTCCCCGGCCGTAAGTAGTATCCCCCCGCAGTAGGGCATCCGCCAGTCTGCCAGCGACACTCGGAGGAGAGACCTGTTTGCCCGGCGAGCAACCTTGGCAGGCGCTTAAAATGTTTTGATTATTATATTATTATTGTTTCTGTTTCGGTTTTGCGTTCGGTTTTCTGTTTTCGTCTAAATAATATATAGATTTTGTTGTTTTGTGGGAAGTCGCCGGGAGAACTGGGTGGGAGTGTCGTAGAGATAATTGCAAAGCCATAACAGGGACTTGAATTGATTGAGTTACCAATCAACAGTTTGCTTTTTTTTTTTTATAAGGAACATTCACTTTAATCCTGCTAACGGATTGAAAAACAAGATATTAGTTACGGTTTTGGGTATTTCTTTTAATTCTGAAATGTTGATTATCCAATTTACAGTAGTTTGTAAGCCTTATAGCTTTATTCTTATTTAACAGTACAGCACAATGTATGTCCTTACAGAAAAATATTCGCTGTTTAGAACATCTATTACACACTTTATGCTCCTTACAGCACACTTTAAGTTCTTATAAAATATTTTATGCGCTTATCAGCACAGTTTATGCGCCTTGCACTACATTTTGTGCTTCTTACAGCACTTTTTATAACCCTGACACCATACTTTATGCGCCTCATAGCACATTTTGTGCATCTAACCAAGCTTTGGTTATATAAATAACCTTCAGTTAAAACTGATAACCGCAGGTTAAGAAATTTATAACCGGAAGTTTAAGAAATTGAAAACCTTTTTCTAGAACTAGTAAACGGAGATTGAGATATTTCAATACTTTTTCTAGAATCAATAACCTGAGGTTTTAGAAATTTAAATTCCTTTTTCTATTAACTTTGACTGACAGTTAATTAACTGATAGCTTAACTGGAGCTTGTTGCAACCCAGAGCCCTTGATGGTCGCCATATGGAAAGCGTTGCAGGGCTGCTCCTATTACTCCCACTATATACATATATATATGTATATACATAGTACTTGAAGGGCCTGCATGACGGCGGTAATCGGGCTCATTTAAATGCATTGAACTTGTCTCATTATGCCGCAGCAGTAATGGCATCTGCAAGTCGAATCCCATCCACAACCAATACGATCCAACGGCTGGCTGTCCCGTCCTGACTCATTCGGACATATGGCAGCAGTGGGCCGCAAATTGTTGAACAAACAACATTTCATGCAATTTGTACGCGCCAAATGAGAAGGTGCACAGTTGCGGTGGTTATTTTAGCACCGAAAAACATTTTTTTAATGGTAAAAAGAAGTTTTGGGATTTCCCCGTTTTTTAGGTATTAGCTGGCACACAAACCCAAGGGGAAATTATCTTTACACATCCTTAAAGTTCAGACTTCAACCATATTGGTAAGCCAAGGATTCAATTTCAAATTTTCCCAATTAAGATCAGGGAATAATAAATAATTAAATTATTTAAATTAAAATTTAAGCTAATTATTCCTCCTTCATTGTCACAAAACACTCGTACTTGCTTTCTGGTCATGTTGTTGCTGCTGTTGCCTAGCCTTTTGGCCAATTTATTGTTGCATTTGGCAAAATGGTCGGTGAAATTTCGTGCTCGCTTTGATCTTGACGCGTTTTTGACACTCGTCGAGCACATTTCGTCGATTTTGCATGCTCTTCTCCGTAAAATGATGGCAAATGGGTGGTGGTTGGTAGGGGAAAAGCGGACAGCCGGCGGCATGTGCCGCACATTTTTCATTATATATTTTCCATCTCATATACACGAGTTTTATTTTCCCACAAAGAAAATATACCGCCGCATTTCGGGGCATTACTCAGCTGCTGCAGCTGAGCAAGTGGCAAGTGGAAATTGGCGATCGTCAAATGTAAGAGTGTTTTTATTTTATTTTTGTTTTATTTTTTGTTTCGGTACGTATATTAATAGCAACGCTCGGATCGCGCGATTCTATATGCAAAGCATATTCCTAATTTGTAAGCGGCATAGAGGTCAGGCAGGCATCATCCTCAGAGAGTCATTTGTCTTCGGAAAATAGGGGGAATTAAGGGGATGGTCACAGCCAGTTTGGTTCACGACTTGGCTGCCTACCTAATTATGCTAATATTAAAAATAAAGTTTATGTACATTACTAAAAGTATTTATTAAGGAAAAAACAATATACACTTAGGAAATTAAATTGCAATTTAAGAGTACTTCACAAATTAGTATACTTTTAGGCAGTGATTGCTGAAGACTCGTAACTATGAAAAAGATGGTTAATAATAGATGGTTCGATTTTTTGACATTTAATAAACGTAACAAAAACAAATTGAATGCAACTATTTTTAAGGCTATCTATTTAGGAGATTTTCTGGCCATATTCAAATTTTTAAATTAGCATTATTACTAATGCTATAATTATACCCATGCAGAGTATAATAATACTGGTAAAAAGTTCGCAACGCATTGTTTACCCATTTTTTTTTTAAATTTGATAAGGGGTTATATGCAGATTAGGTTAACATAAAAAAACTAGCAGAAAACTGTTTATCAAATTAAAATTAATGCTTTTTTGGCGTAGTCATAAAAGATCCTGATCCAATTATTACGAGCAAGGGTATTTAAAGTTTTTCCTTTCGAAGTTAGCTTTCTTTCTTGTTTATTGTTTTTAATTAACGATCAACATTTCCCCTTTTCCTTTTTGCCAACCTCTTTGGTTTGTGTCTGAACTAGCTGTTGAAAATGTGGCTTGGAAATATCCCCTTATTCAGAGGCTTAAGCCACTAATAATTTCCCCTGTGGTTGTCTAGCTAATGATGGTTTAAAAACTCAATAACTAAAAATATAAAAAAATAATACTTGAAAAACAGAAGTTTAATAATTAAGAATGTTTGTAGTTTTTAAAATTATTTTCTGTTGATATCCCCCCCTCCACCCAGGAGCAACGCCACACTGCCCACTCCACCCTGTCCTTCCCAGCAGATGGACAGGCATGAAAGCGGGCCAATTAAGCGGGAAGGGAGCGTGGAGTGGGCGGAGGTATGGCGAGGGGGCGTCGTTGCTGCTGTCAACTGGCAGCTGGCCAAGGCGCACGCATAGCGGCGGCGTCTCCTTCGTTGCTCCGCTGGAAAGGGGCATCAGGTGGCGTAGCAAAAGCAGCACTCGACGTAGTGCGTCAGAGGCGTCGTCGATGGCGCGGAAGTAGCAACGGAACGCCTCATCGGCCCCCTGGCCCCGGTCCCCCCCTGACCTCAGTTTCCCAGCGGGACCTTGACAGCGCCCGTTTTGATTTATGCGGCATTTTGCAAAAGTCAACAAATGAAAATGACACAGAAATAATGCCAAGAGCGAGCTAGAGCTAGCCTCCACCTCCATCTGCTCCTCCTCCTCCCAGCATTTCGATTTCGTTTGGCACCCAAGGTCGAACGACGCGACGGCACAAATAGATGCTCCTCCGCGGTGGTGTGTTCGGTGGTTCCGTTCCTTCATCGGGAATTAAAACCTTATGGAGGGGCTTAGGGTCTTGTCAGCAGAATTTATATTATTTAATTAATCCTTGTATTAAGAGAATTTTGCAGCTAATAACCTCTTTTTATTTGCCCAATTGAACCATGAAAACTAAACCAGTTGCGTTTATTTCATTCACAATAATCGTTTATTATAATTTGTTAATAGTTAGGGTGTAATTTCCAATAGAAGAAGCTTTCTCTCCGCACGCGAAGAGCACGTCCTATGATGCGCTTTATAAAATGTTTATGTTTTTATGTTTTTGTGTGTGATCGATCGACTGGATCTCGTGCTAAAAAAAAATATAGAAAATGATGAAGAAAACAAACAATAAGACCTTAATTATGAACATGACTTTATGGCAGGCCCGCGAGCTCCTCTCCGACTCTCCGGTGGTGATTTCCAGTTGCTTGCTGAGTCTATATATATGAAATCGGTGCAATATAAAGCACTATATAGGCGTACATGTATATATATATATATATATATATATATATGTATATATCTCCTTCGTAACACTTCTCTTTAGACTTTAAGTTAAGAATTACACTGCGATTTGTCGATTTTCGAGTTATGGTAAAAAATTTGGTTTGACGCTTGCATTAGCCGAGCTTTACGTTTAGATTATATACTTATCGGATGTGCTATATATATATTTAGGTGTAATATATATATATGTATACGTAAATCGTAGGTAGAATATATATAAATAATTACAAAAAGGGTGTGTGTGTGTGTGTCTTTGCGAGAAAAAAAAAATAAAAAAAATACTTGCGATAACATTCAACTTTATGTTACACTTAGGGGAGGTTAATCCCCATCCCCTTGCCCCTACTGGCGCCGCACTGTGCGCTCTCTCTCCCGACCGCTCTCCTCCCGCTGCAGGCTGCCATGGCGCGGCGGTGATGTGTGTCCCGTATCCCCGCTGCCATTGAGCACGCGCGCCTTGCGCGATCTCTTGAACTTGGCCATGTCCTCGCCAAAGACATCGCCCGTGCGCAGGGCCGAGATAAGGTCATCAAACTCGCCCTTGTTGTCGCCCCCAGAGGCTCCTTTGGCTGGCGAATCCGGTCCAGAGTTGGGCGAGCCCGACTTTAAGCCCAAATTGCGGGCCACGCTGCTCATTAGCCCTGTCTTGTTCTTCCGCTCGATGGTGCGCTTCTTGAGCTCCGCCTCCTGCTTGGCCCGCTTCTCCTCCTCCTCCTGGCGCCGCCGGAAGCTCTCGTTGTCGTGCCTTGCCTCGGCAAAGGCGCCCAAGAACGAATCAAAGATGCCAAAGAACTCGTCCGGCTGCAGCACGGAACCATCCTCCCCGAACAAACGGACAGCGCGATCAAAGCGGGTCTTCATGTCCTGGAACTTGTCCTCCAGTTCTGCAAAGCGGACCGAGGCCGAGGCATGGAACTCGCGCATCACGGGCAGAAAGCGATCGCCCTGCTGGGCAGGGCCAGAGCTGCGATGGAACTCGATTTCCCGGGCCACATCCCCCAGGCCGGTGCGCAGCATCTGAATATCCTTGTCCATCTCGCCCAGCGACACCTTGGAAGCCTCACGGACATGCGGAATGTCATCCTCCAGCTTCAGCAGATCCTTGAATTTGCGCTCGATGACCTGGACGAGATAGTGCAGCAGGGTGGTGCCCTTGGCGGCACTGGACTTGGTGTCGGCCAGCCGATTGAGCGAGGCCAGACGGAAGCCGGAGGCATTGCCGCGGGCTCCTCGGTTCATGTAGTTGCCTGGGGATATTTTGAGATTGGATTTAATAGAGAAACTAAAATAAAAGAGAAGGATAGCTTACCCAAAGCCAGGACCAGCTCTAGGAGCTTGCGCAGGCGTCGGGAACGTGCCACCTCGCGCGAGGCCTCCATCACACTGGTGATGCGCGGTATGAGGTCATTGACCGTCAGCATGAAGCGCTTCCTGTAGTGCAGGCTCTTCAGCCGCTGCTCGTAGTGGGGAATCCTGCAAGAAACAAGGGAGAAAGAGCTCAGAAACTTCTACAACTCCTTGATGATTCTCAAACCCACTTTGATATCTCGTAGAGAAAGCGATCGGCTCGGGCCAGTGACTCAATGTCCTCGCTATGCTCATCCAGCAGGGCCCGCTCCTCCGCCGAGGGCGTGAACTTCAGCAGCTGCTCGACCATGTCCAGTGCCAGCTGCTCATTGCTGTCCATCGATAGAATGGCCCTGTCAGAGTATAGAAATTAGTATTTGTAACCCAGAGGTGCCTAGGGAACACTCCTACTTTGATATTTCCATGTCGCTCATCTTCAGCTTGCTCAGCAGAATGGTGCAGTTCTGGGCCCGGCGTCCATCGATCACTGAAAGCACCTTTTGCTTGGCCGGCTTGCCGCCAGTTGCACGCAAATCCTCATAAGAGCCATCGGTGGCCTGTAAAAGGAGCAAGAGGTGAAGCATTACGATGGGTAAATTCCCTTTAGGATCTCTTTTAGGGACTCACCGACACCCCGTTCTTTTGGTAGGCCGAAAACAGCTTGTCTATCGACTCCAGCTCCATGTTGTTGTACAGCTTGCTCTCGTCCAGTTCACTCCAGACGGTGCCCTGGAGCTTGGCATCGGGTAGTTTGGACCAATTGAAGCTCTTTAAAGGATTCGTGGGCTGTGGCACGTTCTTCTTGGGCAGCTCCACCTTGGGTGGTGCAGGAGCTGCAGAAACAGGAACAGAAATAAATATACAAAATAAATAAATATATAAAACTCCAAGCTCACCCATTGTTGGCGCCATGCTTGGTGGTGGTGGCGGTGCTCCCGGACAGGGCGGCGGCGGTGGTGGCATCATGGCCGGCGCCATCGGTGGCGGTGGCGGCGGTATGGCCTTGAGCATGGCCGGCGGCGGTGGTGGCGACACAGCCCCATTGCACCCCGTCAGGCCGGCCACCTTCTGGTCATCGGGTATGCTGCCCTCGGTGACCAGGCGCTCCAGCCTTGCCCTTTCCTGCTGCTCGCTATGCAGGCGATGCTGCAGATCCTCCGCCTTCATTTCAGCTGTCTGCGCCCGCTGTACCGCCTGCGAGTGCTGGGCCGACTCCTTCTCCAGGCGCTCACGCATGCGCGCCAGACCCGTCTCCAGGTCCTCCTTCTCCTGCATGCGCAGGTCAAGCTCCTGCTCCTTCTTCGCCAGCCGCGACTGCACATCAAAGTTCTCACGCTCCAGCTCATCGGCACGCTTGCGGGCCTGCGTCAGCTGCTCCTCCTTGACCAGCAGACGCACCAGCTTGCCCACATCGATTTGAAGGGGAGCCACATCGGGATCGTGTACAGGAGAGTCGCTGGCTAGCTTTAGCTGCTTCCCAGGGTCCTCGGGATCCGAGATGAGGTCGCTGCTAGGACGCTGCTCCACCTGCAACACAACCTGCTGGACCACGCGATCAATCAGCAGCCAGTGCTCCGTGCAGTGGCCAGTATCTGGGTAAGAAGACGGATAAGAGTTAGCTTGGGATGGTTAAGCAGGATCCTGAAGAGTACTTACAGGGCAGCAGGAGCATGTGCTGCAGCAGGGAGAGCATGTGGGGATAGGCGGGCGAGTGGCTGAGCTTGCGGCGCAGCAGCTCAAACATGGTTCCAGCGCTCTTGGTGTCCACATGCTCCTCATTAAAGCGGCGGGCAAACTCCTTTTCATCCTCGGCTCTGACCATTTCAAAGAAGTCCTGGGAACAGAAGGAGAGGGAACATATTAAGCCAGGTTATTCCAGCTACCAATCCCTTTGATAGACTCACCAAATGCCTGTCCAGCGTCTCATTCTCATGCGTCCGCAGCTTGTCAATCACCGGCTGTATACCCAACATGAGAAACTCGTAGCGCAGATGCAGCCGGAACTCGAGATTCTCTTGCCCGGGGCCATAGTTAAGCACCGCGTTCACAAACGACATCAAGGCCGTCTTGAGGTTGACATTGTCCCTATAAGCATAGGTGGACCTGTCCAGGTCATTGACAATGCTCTGGAAGCGGGTTCGCTCCGTGGCGAATTCCTGGAAGTGGAGCATGGCCTGCAGCACCTTACGATGTCCGCCTGGCACCAAACAAACCGCTCCCAGTATCTCCAAAGCGGCGATCTTGGTCCTTATGTTGTCCGCCGCCAACGAACGGGCAATCGTGTCGATGGCCGTCGGATGGGCCAGGACATGGGCGCGTCCCATTGAGTTATTCATCAGCGCCTTGATGCAGCCAATGAGGCTGGTGTGCAGCGGACTATTGGCCACCCGGATGTCCAGCTGCAGCAGAAGATCGAGCAAAGCCGGCAGACCATCCAGCTCCACGAAGCGCAGCACAAAGCTGTGCGTCGAGGTACGCAGGGCGGTCTTTAGGGCGTCCACGAAGGCGGCATGACCATCGAGTCGGTTGCCCAGCTCATGGCTGGGTGAATCCTCCGGCGATAGGGATATATGCACCACCAGCTCCTTGAGTCGCTCGATGTAGTGCTCCGCCGTCGGCGGTTGAGTAATGGCCGCCGCATCGGGCCCATCTCCAGCGTCCAGTGGCAGCTTGCGGGAGCAGTAGATTTGCCATTTTTTCTGCGCCGGCAGACTCAGCATTGCCTCCTTGTTGGGCGCCGTCAGGTCGAGCTCCTCCACCAGCTCCGCGAACTTGCTGTCCAGCTCATCCACCGCCGGCATTGGCTGGGTGGGCGTGAGCGTCTGCAGGGTGAACGCCCCTTCCACCACACAAATCTCGGGTGGCTCATCGTCCTGCGGGAGGGGGGAGAGAGGGGGATATGGAGAATCAATCAGTATCTCTGATCGTTAACAGTGCGTGTCCAATTAGCAGGTGGGACAACCTCGAGTTTAGGCAGCGGTTCTGCTCGCTGCGCTCGTGCCAGCAGCAGCTGCAGCTGTTTCCCTTGGCCAGTGACTAGTGACTGCCCCACTCGGTGGTGGTGACTCAGTGCCCCAGAAGTTCTGGGTACTTGGTACTGGGTTCTTGGTTCGACGGAAGCCCTGTTCTTGGAAAAAGACTCTGCCAAAGCTGGCTCTTGATCAGGCCAAGAGCCTCTGGAATCTGACTGTGACTGAACGAAAATATTAAATTATAAAGAGCTAAATAAAAGAATATAAAGCAAATAAATCCTTCACTGCGTTACTTGCCTTTGAATGAAGTTATAATACTCTGTTGTTAAAATATTTACATGTAAATAACAAGAATCTTATGTTATGGCCTTAAAATTCTCAACTAGTTAAGGCAGATATTCAGAACCAATCAAATGAAGAAGTTTTATTTGTATTTTTGAAATCATTTTCAGGGCCTTAAACTACAAATTGCATAAGCTTTTTGCAATTAATATAATTAATAAACTAAATAAAGATTCGGCCTTCAAATTCTTAAGCTCTCTTGATAAAAAAAACTGGAATGAAAATACATAATTTTGTATAAAAAATTTCTTTGTAATTTCTAAATATAAAGCTGCCCCAAGATAAGCATTTAAATGGAATTTCTTCACTAATCTCAAGGGAGTCCTCTGTTGACTTTGCTGAGACTTTGGCCCCTCCACACTGGAAATTAATTTAGTAATTTATTTAACCAACCCATTAGGCAAATCTCTGCTGGAACATTAACCTGGCCTGGCTAGTAATTATCTGGCACGGAGCAGAATCAAATTCCTCAGCAGACTAAGGTTTTTATTTTTATTTTTTTTTGGCAATTTTCTGAGCTGGCTTTCGTTCCGACCAGCCCGTTCCCATGGCAATTGGAATTATCGCCTCTTATGCAACATCGTCGTGCACAATTTGACAAATTCGCTGACACAGAATGTGCACAAGGAGAGCCAACGAGACTGGCGACCGATTCAAGTGCCGGCTCCGATTTCGATTGGCTTTCAAGTCAAAGTGTCCGAAGTTCCGCACGTGACTTTGTCCGGATTCGGCTTCAGTTCGAGTACTCACACACAGAGCACTCTCTCCTAGACTATATGGGTCTCGATATCTGGCTTTTACTCGAAATTCCCCTGACTAAAGCCTCTAATTCTGATTCAGTGTGAATTTCCCTTGAAAAATCCCCAGCAAAGGATCAGTACTCACCTTAAAGCACCCACACCAGGCTCTCCTCCCCCTAAACACGGGCATCTTCTTCTTTTGCTGCTGACGATAGTGCTTCTGAAGCGGCGTCTCACTGCTGCTGCCGCTGCTCCCGTTGTCCGCTATGGACTTCCTGAAGCCTAAAGTACTGGTGTTGCTGTGACAATTCCCGTTGCCGTCGAGACCGTCCTCCTTGAGGCCAAAGGGATAATTAAAGGTATAGCCTAATATGTTGTGGGTATAGAAGGATCCAGATCCGCTGCCCAGGCCGTTGCTCTCATGGTCTGACTGTGACTGCTGTCGGCGGCTGCCGTTGCTGCTGCTCCCTTGGAGGTTGCCTTCGCTGCTGTTGCTGCCGCTGCTGCTGCTGGTGTTGCTCCGTCCGTTGTACTGATTCCAGTAGCGATAGAGTCCGTGGAAGCAGTTGTAGTCACTGAGCAGGCCCTTCCAGTGGTCAAAGTCAAATCGCTCTTGGAAATTATTATTGGAAGATGTGTCGCTGCCGCTGTTGTTGGTGTTGCTGTTGATGTTACTGCTGCTGTTGTTATTGCTGTTGCCGTTGCAGTTGTTCTGTTGGGAATGATGACTCAAGGGATGAGTGTTGACTGGGCTTATTGAGGTGGTGCTGCTGCTGCTTAGAGGCAATGTGGCTGTGCTGCCCTGACTAAGATCACTGCAGCTGTTTAGGCTGGTGATGGACACTAGGCTGCTGTTCTTGTAGCCACTCTGGATGTGGCTGGCTCCGCTGGCGGTATTATTGTTGTTGTTGTTGTTGTTGTTGTTGCTGCTGTTACTGCTGCTATTCTCGCTGGTTATCGTTATCTTGGTCACTCCGGACGCAGTGCTAGTGTTGGCTGCCTCTCCTGAAGAGCCTACTCCTCCATTGATGGCTATGCAGTTGCCGTTTAGCTGGAAAAGAAAGGTAATACAAGAGAAATGAATGTAATGTCGGGTAAGGAGATCAAGAACTATGCCTGCTTACCGCTGTGGAGGTCTTAGAGGATGATGTGGCTGCGTTGGAGCTGACACTTGGCTTCTCTAGCGTTCCCTCTGGCGTGGTCTGCAGTATCTCTGTGCTGGCACTGTGCGTATCCGGCTCATTGATGCACACGCTGATGGGACACGACTGTAGGGTCTGCAAGGTGGTCAAGAGAGTGAGCAGAAGATGTTAGTTTAATTAAGTAGAATGTCTATCAATTGAAAATTTAATAATAACACGAGTAAATAAAATAGCATTTAAATGAAATATTTCATTAGAAGCTAAAGAAGTTGCAGAAATAGATAGAACTACCACTAATTCCCGCTGACAGGCGAGGTGTCTGGCCAGACAAATGCCCGTCAACGGGCCCAACAGCCACATATTTTATGTGCCCCCCAGCCCCCATTATATATGTCTGGTGGTGGTGGCTTGTGCCGCATGCCAAGGCGGCCAGCCAAGTCAGGCGGCGGCCAAGAAACCAAGCCAAAACCCAGCCAACACCAAACCGAGTCATGGCAAGACCGGGCCAGCCAAGAAGACCAATGCAATAGCTATTGCAATCGGAAATCTGGTCAATGGAATACTAGCATGTGGTCTGGGAATGTACACAGCATATCGAGGGCACACAAATTCGATATAATATATCGGCAAAACTAGCTTTCTCAATATTCCATCGAAAATATCGTAGTTGTATGTGTTTATCGAACTTAAAAATATCGAAAAATAAATTACATTTAATGTTTAAATATTAATATCTTCATAAAAGATATTTTTAAAAAGAAAAATTGCTGTGATAATTAAACAGCTTATAGATTTATCGCTTAAACATCGCATTTATCGCTATTTTAATATATGCTCCTCCTCAGATATCGATATAGTATCTGTATATATCGTTATTTTCCACCCATCTCTAACATGTACAAGTCTAGACTAAAGTCTTGTGTAATTCAGATTCTTAAGTATGCTGTCTTAACTGAATTTGTGGCCCAGACTGATAAAATTAAGACACAAATCAAAAAATCAACCAAAGCATTAGGAAAAGCTATAAATAAAACATTGAATTGAAAAGAGTTTCATGTATATTTATTGAAAACTTAGGTTTAAAGTACCTTTTCCCTATATATAATGGGTTTTTTATGCTTTGGCTTTATTAAGGTCCTGTTCAAATTATTATACCCTATATTATTATACCCTATATTATTAAACCTTATATTATTATACCCCTTATTATTATACCTTATATTATTATACCAGGATATCTATAATCTTAGTCAGAAGTTCACAACGCAGTGAAGGAGTCATTTCCGACCCCATAAACCATATATATTCTTGATAAGCGTTAACAGGAGACTTTCTAGACGTTTCAGAGAGAACAATTTTGCTTAGCATTTTTTAAAAATTTAATAAGGGGCTACATCGTTCAAATTTCTAAAAATTGACAAAAAATTTGCGAATTGAAATTAAGTCACTTTTGGCTTAGTTTATGATCAATTTTTGATTTGATGCCTCGATCCCATTACAAACTTCAAGGGTATACAAATTTCGGCATTTTAAAGTTGGTTTTCCTTTTTAATTTCCTTTTTAAACTAATATAAATTTAAGATTTAATAGCCTAAGAAGTCTTGGAGCACACTCTAAATCCCCTCACGCGATTGCCGGCACAAGCAACTTTCCCCCACTCGCTTGGAGGATATGGAGGTCACCTCCGGGGGCGCTTCGTGTCGTGTCAGAGCCTACTCCAAATTTGTCTAGGAAAATCAGCATATGTACATATTCTGTGGCACAGTTGCCGAGACAAGATATATATATATGATTTTTGTGGGTTTTCCTCTGCGTGGGCGAGGGACAGACCGAGAGACAGACCGAGATAGTGGGTAATCCAAACAAACCGAGAAACAAACAGCATTACAACTGTTGAATCTGTCATAAGTCAGCCAGTGATCCGTGTTGCAACTGGCGCAGAACCGAATTCAAATCCAACTTTTGTGTGGGAGAGGAGCAAGCGACCGCCCGGGTTACCTGGTTAGGTTACTCCTCCTCCTCATCCCTCTCTCTCACTTGCCAGTCTTTGTTATGCAAATTGCTGTGGAGTTGTTGGGGGAATTGCAATTGCATTGCACACATGATCAGTCCTCCGCCTGCCCAGACCTCCACTTAAGACGTAAGCCGAGGAGGAGGAGGCACATACTCATACCCACATAATGCCGGGTGATGGCTTATTAATTTGCTTTCATTACGTTCCGAGTGAGTGGAATCTCAAGTCGAAGTTGGAGTTGCCGTGTGGGACTTGCTCAACGACTGCGGATTGGGTAATCCGCTGTGAGTGCTCAATCAGCAGGCCATCAATCAATCGGCGGAACAGGTTCTCGCCTCAAACTGGCGCCAAAGGATTATAATTAAACACGGGTGTTAAGTCCAAGTTGAACTCTTAATGGGGTTAATCACTGGGAATCGGGTTAGTCTTTCCTTAACCCCCAAAGTCCCATAATTTATATATAATTTTTGGAGCACTTAATTCAGTGGGTCGCTCATTAGCCTTAGTTTCTTCTCTGAAAGTTCTCAGTTGGCTTCACCCACTAACCCGCTGGGGGAGCTTCGATCTTGGAGCTCGAATCTCGCCCTAGTTGCCAATCGAAGCCAGCTGTGGCTGCTGCCGCTGTGACAGCCTCTGTCCCGACTGTGTCACTTGTCTCTCGTCTCGACTCTGTCTGTGTCTCTGCCTTGGATCTCCTCGTCTCCGCGACGGCTGTCTTCGCCGTCACAAATCAGGTCAATGCTTCAACGTCAGCTTCAGATTCAGACTCAAGACTCAGCCCCAGAGCTTTGGCTTTGGTGTCTCTGAATCTCGGCCTGCACCGTGTGGGCTCGCGCGCGCTCTGCTCTCCACTAATTAAATCCGCGCTTTGGGCTCACTTTTGGCCTGCGCGTGGGTCTAATTAGACGCAGACGCGACCTGTACCGGCACCGTAAATAGCCACAATTAGAGCCAAAAAATATTTGGACAGGCTGTGCCTACGATAAGGGTCAATAGACCGACATAAAATACCAATTTGGATCGAATTACAAGAGTTTTGACATAAAGAAACTAGGGGTATATGAATACGATTATGAATACATCTACCTTTGGCTTAGATTTATAATGAGTGAGAGACTCTTTAGTGTTTCATTGGTTCAGAATTCTTGAAAATGTTGTTTAAAAATGTTTTTTATAGATGATTTCAGATTCTTTCATATTTATTTCAACTACAATTAAGCTGTAAGGTGCTTAATCTCCACTATAAATGATCGATACTTATATATATATGTGCAATAAATCGATTGTATGTTGGATATATCGAACCTATATTCTATTTGTTCTCACAAGTAAGAATTTCTGTAGTGCTTATTTTAACGATAAAAAGGCAAATTTTTTCATAAATGAAATAGAGATATATCATAAATTTTGAATTCTATATTTCGATAAAAGTTCGATAAATTTATTATATATTCGCTAGGTTTAAACTCCGATATTTTTGTCAATATATTATTTTAGACTTTTCCTTTCAAAAAAAATATCTACCTAAACAATTTTTTCGTTTATCTCATACTTTTCGATATTTTCCATCTCCTCTTATCTTCGATATTTATATCGATAAATGAAATATGACTTTTTCTCTCGATATCCCTCAACCCTACTTTCTGGCCTGTAAATCATTGCAATGGTCACCGCTAGACTCTGACTACAAGGCCTTGGACTTTGTGTTTGGTTTCCTGGGTTTGCCATTGGCTCTGGCTTCCTCTACACCACCTCCCCTTGTTTTACTCCCAAACCGATCCTCCATTTTTCACACTTGCCGCTTGCCACGCCCTCTCTGGCAGCCAAGGAAAAAATGCACTTCCGAGTACACCCACCATTCGGCACACACCAGAGCGTTGCTCGAGTCGCGTAATAACTTCATAATCGGGCTAAAAAGTGAAATGGAATGGAAATGGTAATGGAAATGGAAGTGTTGCAAGTGTGGCAAGTGGGTGACGACCACGATAGCAGCAACAGCAGCAGCAGTAGCAGGAAGTGTTACCGATCCTCGCCAGCAGCTGCTGCTGCTGCTGCTTGCCTGCCCTTTGCCACAAACACGACCAAAAATCCATCAAATGCCAGCTGCTTCGCCGGCTGCTGCTGCTGTGGCATCCAAGATGAAAATGAAAACGACAAGGAAAAACTAGTTTTTCCGCATGCCAGGAAAATGAAGAAAACATGTCGAAAGCAGCAACGGCAGCAGCCAGAAACTTTTCCTTTTTTGGCACAGCCATCAGGCATCAGGCATCGCTCTCCTCAACTTCAACTTAAGCTCATCTTTACCCACTTTTCAGGTGGAGACTCAAGACTGAATGCTGATGGTGAGATGGTGATGGAGTTGTGGTTAATTATTGGTGCGTTTCAAGTTTTCCAAAAGGCGGAGCAGCAGCCAAGCAGCCAAACAGCTGAGCAGCTGAGCACTAGCAGGCATCAATCATACGCAGCGTTGGCCGGCTTTCCTTAAATTTGCAATTGCATTCGTTGCCGTTTCGTCGCACGGTCCAAAAATAGTCATTATGACCAACTAACGTTTAGTGGAGAGAGGGAGGAGGAGGAGGAGGAGGAGCAGGGTTTGGGGCTTGATATATGCTATGTAGAGGGGCTTGGGTGCCCGAGATTTGTGGCATTTCATTTGCAGTTGTCAGTTAATTGCCAGCATTTTTAGCGCATTTGTCAGCGCGGCACTTTTCAAATGTCAGGTTGTTTTTGTTTTTTTGTTTTTTTTTGCTCAGCTTCTTAGTTTATTATTAATATTATTTTTTTGTTTGCTGCTTGGGGGCTTAGCAACTAAAGATAAGATATAATGTTGACAGAAACAGATTAGCGATTAGCTTTAGATAAAAGATATGGGTGACTTGTTATGGAATAGAACTAGATTGTTCCAAGGAAAATTTAAAGACATTCAATTTGAGCTGGGTATATGCTGCTCAGGGTTGTTTTTTATGACTTGAATAGTTGTAAACAAATAAAATAAATAATAAAAAATATATTAAGACCAATATTAAGCCTTTTTTTATGGTTTCCAGAATGCATATTGCTGGTATAAATACTAATTACAAGCTTTAATTGCTTGAGTTATGATCTCAGCTTGCTTGGAATA